CACTCAGCCAATCCTTGCTGTCACCTTCCAACTTTTAGGGTTTCACATAAAGCACCTGTCGAATTGCAGCCCTAAATTCTTTACTCATGAGCCCCCAGCGAAAATCAGTTCAGGAAACTTTAAAAATTGCAATGGGGAGAACCAAAGTAAAAGCAGGCGGAATGTCGGTGAGAGTGAAGGATGGTGTCAACTTGAAGAATGTTATTTGCTCTTCCAAGAACTAGATTCGTGTTCAAATTTAATTTCTTTCTATTTTTTTAAAAGGGGAACTCATGCACTTTGCATATATTAAAATTATAGTCATCGCATAGTAGAGACATTTTTTGTGATATATTTTAATGTTGTTTAAAGCCTTTAACTTTAACTGATTTAATTATACGTAAGCCCTATAATCTGGGTTTTGACAGTTGTGCTTAAATGGCACTGCGGGCTGTATATAATTTTTTTTAAGGTTTTGACTTTGATTCCTTTTAGTAGTTTTTGGTTACGCGAAAAATTTTTGCAGCGTTGTTTTAATAATCCCGCAGGGGTTCCATTGCAGAGCCATTTTGCGTTTTGCTCACTGGTTTGTTGTTCGTAGTTTCTTCGATCGCTCTAGGTTAACTAGAAAATGCGTTCCGCCAGTGATATTAAGGCAGATCAAGATAAGAAGCTGTTTGTCGGTGGATTGCACCATTCTACTACTGAAGGTCAGTTGCGCGAGTTTTACTCACAGTGGGGCGAAATTACCGATGTTGTGGTCATGAAAGATCAGAGAACTGGTAAATCTCGTGGGTTCGGGTTTGTCACATTTGCCGAATCCTCTTCGGTGGATGCTGCACAAGCGGCTCGTCCGCATACTATCGATGGGAAAACTATTGATTCCAAGCGGGCCATGCCTCGTGAGGAAACGAGTCCTGAAGTTCATGCTGCCGTTAAGAAGATTTTTGTTGGGGCTTTGAAAAAGGATGTGACAAACGAGGACCTGTCACAGTATTTTTCGCAATTTGGAACCGTGGTGGATGCCTCTGTGGTCATGTCGAAAGATAGGAATGAGTCTCGAGGATTCGCTTTTGTCACATTTGATGATACAGATGCAGTAGATAAAGTCATTCTTTCCAAACCGCATAGTATCAATGAAAATAAGATTGATGTTCGGAAAGCACTGAGCAAAGACGAGATGAACCGCATTCGAGCTCGTCCTCCTCGGCCTGATCCTCGTCAGTCCTGGGGCAACGGTAAGCTTTTACGTATTAATGTCTGTTTGTCGCATAGATAACTCATGGAGTGGTCATCGTTATGATAATGGGTATAATCAGGCTTATGGCTATCAAGGTTATGGAAATTACGGTAATGGAGGTGGTTATGGTAAGAACTGTAAACAATTAATGACTGGTAGGTTATCCTCAAGGATATGGTTATGGCGACCTTCCACCTTCTTGGGGACCTAGCTCAAATGGAGACAGCAGTTTTGGTTCTTATCAGCAGTCTTATGGTGGTGGTCCCATGCGTGGAGGTCCGCAGCCTTATCCTAGATCTGCACCCTATGGTCAAAGTAGCTGGCAGCAGCGCCAATAATTTTGAATTAAATGTAGGAATGCAGGGAGCTGTCTCAGTGCATTTCCTTAACTTTTATTATTCACCATCAGCTGTTTTGTATATTAACTTCCAAATCATTGCTATAGTCGGTATGTGGCGCTTGTTCGCTGGTATGCTCCCTCTATACGTAATGCTTAGCCTGTTCGCCTAGGCTAATCCTTCTCTGGCATAATGTCGGCGGTCTTTTTTACTCATCAGTGTTGTTAAATTATAATTGAACTTGAATTCTCTTATTGAATGGTTGTTTCGGTTGTACAGGTTTTGGGATTTTGGGGCGTCGGAGTTCCGGTGGTGCCAGCAGGGAGTCTTGACGCTGCCTGGAAACTTGCAGGTAATGCTTGGCCATGGTTGAAAGTGATGAATTATGTGAGCGCAGGTCGGTGATGGAGTAGTTTCCTAGCTTAGGTCTGTTGCCATGTTGCATACGATAGGTGCGGTCTAGGGCGCCGCTGCAGCGGCGGGTTAATGCAGGTTTCACGGTTCGGAGCAGTTTTTGTCCTTTTGTCTTTTTTTGTCAATAAAGTTCATGACGGTGGTCTGCCATTTCTCCCTTGGGGCACGTGGGTGAGCTCGGTTGGTTCCCCGCTTGCGGGTCGCTTTTGGCGTGTTAGTGGTTTCGCACCCAGTCTGGTTGTGGAGCTCCGGTGGGATGGCCTCTGGCGTCGCCGGCATTGGGCGGCCGGGCGGTTTTAGGGGGGCGTTGGGCGGGCCGGCGGTGGGCTTCTGGCTATGCGTTTGACGGTGGTCGTGTCTTGGTCTTCACGCTTAGTGTGTTCCCTCGGTGTGCTCTAGATTTTCGGGGCGGTTTTTGACGAAGGGGGTCTATTAAAAGTGTCGACTTTTACTCAGATTATAATTTTCCACTTTGGATTTCGTCATTATTTAACTACTACAAGGATGATATTTGGGGTTTTATTCTTGAAATCTTTTAGGTGTTGAATGATGTCGATGCTATCATTACTAAGCGTCGTGTGTATAGCCGCACAAAAGTTTCTAGCTGTCGTGGAGAATGAAGCCCCAAGGGGATGCAAAGGAGGATCAAGGCAAGAAGTTATTTGTTGGTGGTATCAATCACAAGACTGAGGAGAAATCTTTAAGGGAGTATTTTTCCAAATATGGTGAAATTGTTGACGTTGTTGTAATGAAAGACTCGCATACTGGAAAACCCAGAGGTTTTGGTTTTATTACATTCAAGGATGCCTCTGCCGTTGATGCTGCTCAGAATGCACGTCCACACACTCTCGACGGGAAGGAAATTGATACGAAACGGGCGATGCCACGTGAGGAAAGTAGTCCAGAAGTACATGCTGCGGTGAAGAAAATCTTTGTTGGTGCTCTTAAAAAGGATATTACCAGCGAAGATTTAAATGAGTATTTCTCTACCTTTGGCACGATTGTTGAGGCTTCTGTTGTAATGGCAAAAGAAACAAATGAATCTCGTGGCTTTGGTTTTGTTACATTTGATGATACTGATGCAGTGGATAAGGTTATTCTTGGTCGTCCGCATACTATTAAAGACCATAAAATCGATGTCCGCAAAGCTCTCAGTAAGGAGGAGATGGGCAGACTTAGATCGCGCCCTCCACGTCAAGGACCAAACTTTTGGAACCAGGGTATGCATTTAACCTAAGCTTGCTTAACTCATAGGCCCTCCTGATTACCGTCAACAGGGTTGGAATCATGTCTATAACCAGGGTGGGTATGGCTCTAGCTATGGTTACGGTAATGATCAATATGGTAAGCTAGTCTACTAGATTAATGCCCAAGTTTTCTCAGGTAATGGCTATGGATATGATAACTATCAACAATCCTGGGACTACCAGTCTGCTGATTCATTCGGATCTTATAACCAACAACCCTATGGTGGGGGTCCCATGCGCGGAGGTCCTCAGTATTCTAGACCAGCACCATACGGAGGTCCAAATTCTTGGGGACAGCAGCGTTAAATAAATTGGCCTGTCATCCGCAGTTGTATATGCCCTATTTATAAACGGTGATGCATTTCCCATTTTTGTATCGTCTCATTTTGTAAGATACACAATGTCGTTTAATGGGTCGTTCAATTTGAGGTTAGCAAAGGAACGTTTTATGAGCGCGACAACTGCTTGGGTTGTTTATTCTTGCAGATTAGGAAGTACTGTGGTTTCCTATACGCGGAAGAGGGTAGCATGTCCTCGTGGACTTGTTATCGGTGAGAATGTTGTGGAATGCGGTCTGATTCCTTTTGTGCTGACAGCAAGGTGGTGCTGCGTCTGGGTTTGTAGAAGTCAGAATTGACTCTCCGAGTGCCACTTTTAAGCTTGAGCATGGAGCTCTCTCAGGTAGGGGTTCTGGGACTTCGGATTTGTGGCGTTGCTTGTGTTTGCTGATGCGCTACTTTGATGTGCCCATTGGTGAATTGACGTCGGTTGTCGTTCGCAATCTCATACTCGACAGTTGGCATCAAGTGTGGGGGCGACGCTTGTTACTACACTAGCTCTCCCGACTTGGACTGTGGAAAGGCTTTTTGTTCCTATTTTTGTGCTGTGCGGTTGGAGTGGTGAAGACTTAAAATGCTAGAGCGTTGGAACGTAGTCTCTTCCAAACTAGCTTAGGTAGAAATGTATGATTGATTGGGTATTTGAAAGAAAAGCACTTGGCTGAAGAGATGGGGCTTTGGTACTCATTCGGGGACCAGTTAAATCTAGGCGAAGCAATGTGGCTGCCCCTTACATAGAGTCGGAGGCACGCAGTATTACAGGACGAACGAGTCAATGTTGTGCCAAACGCCTGATTTTGATGCTAGGCCAATAAATGAGCTCGTCAACGCATGTGCAATGCTGAATTTCGGAGCGGCTAACCTACAAGACTATTATCACATCCCTCAAGGAACGACGGCATAATTACGCATTGGTTTAGAGGCATTCAATAAGATGCACATGTTTTTAAAGCACTTCATTAGGTATTTGGCTATGAAATGAAATGAGACACACTGAATTACCAGCTTTGAAAGACCAGTTATTGGAATGAATAAAATCCTAAGCACCAACTTTGATTATTTCTAGAAATACGACGATTGAATGCCACGTATTCTCCAGTAGTTCTCCACTCACCTACTCATTCTGCACAGAATTGCGTCATTTAATAGAGTTGACCGATTTTAGACGTGATGAAAAAAAACGTAATTCTGGGATAAAAAATGAAGATGGGACATGCAGTCAAAATTGACGTGCTGAAATGGCTCAGCTAAAGTGCAGCTCTCAAGACCGATACTAGCCCCATCACCAACAGGAATTTGGGCAGACAACCAGTGTAGCACAGTGGCTTTCTGACTTCAGCACAATCGCTCCATACTTCAGTGCTTACGTAGCTGACGATAGCAGTCTCTAGCAATGCATTACTCCTATTCAGACAAAGTTTAGAGCACATTTCTACAACAATGTAGTTCCAATTTCTCCCATTCTCCCATATCTAACGCCCTTTTCTGTCGTCTGTTTGACTTCACCCTTCACCCTTCACGCAGCGTAAAAGGCAAGCTTTGTCTTCAGCTAAACTCTGAGATCGGGAACGTTGTTTGCAAAATGTGCATTGGATTTTGGATCTATTCCAAAAGAAGTGGTAGCATCTTATCCGCTTGGGACTCGTCTACGTTTAGACCAACTTAAAAGTGTAAAAATGTTTCTTGTTTGGAAACGTCAAGCGCAAAACTGTTGAACTAGTTATGAACCTATGAAAAGCAATAAGCGATTGTTGTTTTCGATCAAAATGACACGACAATTTAGAGGGTGTGCAAATTTGGATGATCGCGTTTAGAGCTACGAAGGACAAGTGAAGGTTGCGTGTATCTTCATCACTCCTTTCATGAGCTCCGCACGCCGCGACTGGGTGACAGTAATCATGCCTACGGGCAGCGTGAGACGGCCTATGCCAAGATGGGTGGTTTTGGGCAAATTGTTTGGAGGCAATGACTTCCTGACCGAATGTGGGAAAGAAAAAGGATGCTCATGGCTCAGAGGTTGCTGATAGGATTGCAAAATATCATTTTACACATGTGGTAGAATAGAAATGAGGTCGGCGATTATTTTACATTAAAGTGTCAACGGAAGTTGGAAGTGACCGATGTGGTACCTATTGACAATGAAAGTCATTCGAAGTTAGCCAAGAGCGTAAAGGTGGAAGTTTTTTGAATTGTGCAGTTAATGCAGACTGCTGTTACACGCATCGCATGCTTGTTTCTCTTGCACACACACAAGCCTTATCCTCCAATCGGAACCTGGTGCAATTTAGCTGACAAGTGCCTCCGCATTCGTGACACGTGAAGTCTAGTAATTTTGGTTGCTGAATTAAGGTTTTGACGTTTTTTACAGCTTGTAAGTGGTTTAAAGGGACAAAAAGTGTCTTTTACCTACTAGAAGCTTACCACTATGCATTTTAGTGAGATTTTTGGCCTTATGAGGATGAAATGCAAATCATCGGAATTTCAAGTAAAAATCGGCTCCCTTCAAATACAAATAAACCAGTAGGAATAGGGTTGAACTCAAATTTAATTTGGAAATCATTATTGTTTCCATAATGATTTGCACAATTTACTCATCATACATTGTAGCATGACGTATTCTATAATCCATTTTCAGTAAAAGGTAAGTTTACCTCATGTGTGTTATCAGGTATTTGGAGTGTGGTGACCTGAGTTGTTCTACTATTTATTTTTTAGTAGAAATCTAATTTTGGCGAATTTTTCCTGCATTAAATAGCATCAAGGTACCATTTCCGTTCGTATTTACGTGACATTAAAGGAGATGTCTGGAGTAGCCCTCGCCGCATTTTTCTCATTCAAACAAGTAGTTACTATAGTTTAGGGTGTGTGAACACGAGATCCATGAGACACAATAAAATCCACTTTTATCTTGAGAGGAGGTTGTCAAAAGCATCGACCTGAAAAGGCAAAATGCAGATGGAGACCATGTAGGTAGAGTAGTCGAGGCACTTTGGAATTCATTGCAATAAATTCACTAAAAATGAAGTTGACGTTAACATGCTTTTGTATTCGCATGTTTCTGTGTCCATACGTGGAAGTCTTGAACTAGCGCATAGAACTTTTAAGACTTTGGCAGGAGGGCTGACATAGTTCCATAGGACTCACGATTCTGCCCAAGGAATGCCAGACTGATTGCATCTTGTGCAATGATAATACTCTGGCGGTGGGATCATAGCTGATAAGCATGGAAGGCATCACTAAACCATGCAAACAGATACACTTGACGTTATTTTACTATTAAATCATCCTAAAATGGTACAATTGCGGACGAGTTAACAAGTGTAGCAAGCTCGATTAATCTAAAAGAGTAAATTAGTCATGGGAGAAAATAATCCTCAGCCGCAATTGTAAAGGTCCTGTGATCATCAGAAAATGGAGTTCTAATTCAAAGTCGTGCTTTATAACAACTCCCACATTTGCATGTACCGAGGTGCTATAGGAATTGAGTTGCCCCACCTTCGTCTGCCCTGGCATAGGGCTGACAGCCACAGGCAATTTTACGCAGAAATCTCTATATATATATATATATATATGTATATATGTTAGTTCCATTCAAATGAAAAGGAGGCATATTTTTATCGTATTTTACACTTCGTAAGCTAAACATGGAAGCAGCGTCCTCCCATTGACCGTGAAGCAGACAAAGTACGTGGCTCTCCTAATGCTGCATACCACGCAAGTTAACTTTGCTATTCTCTACATTAAGCAGAACTCGCAACTGTTCAAACAGATCGCCTTGTTCCACTCACACTGCTATATGCGCCGCTCTGATAACTTATTGTTTTAAAGGAAAGTTGATGAAAAGTGCAACTGTAAGGCCCCAAATACTATGTAGTGCTTGAATTATTCGAGTCCAGCTGCCATCCAACCTTATGAGTAGAATCACTTGGATATTAGGGATGGTGGCAATACAATAGGATCCATGCAAATGCACATTTAACCTAATAGATGTGTGCATCTCGTTTTCCAACTTCTGAAGGTCTCTCACCCACTTCAAGTTATCTGTCACCGCCTGTGATGAGTTGTCTTTAGAATGTGAATGTCAGAAAACGGCCAAGAATTGTTGAGACGATTTCAGCAACTACGACTAGAAAACAGTAGCGTGTTAACTTGGCGGTGAGTCGATATGAGCATACTTTCAGTCTGAGGAAGGGCAGGGGAGAGGCAGCAACCGTCTATTTTTTGAGATGCACGTGAATTCAGTTGCTTCAATCGGTGAAAGTTCATTAATTAAATAGGGTCTGAAATGCACCAAAATGAGGGGACGAATTTCCTCCCCCATCACCAGGATTTAGGTGCGTGTTTAGATGTGGGGTAGAGAGGAGGGAAGGGACATTTAGACCAACTCCGTTAGGCAAAAGACAAGCTTTTGGTTTTTGAAATATGTTCGCTTTGCGAGATAATTAACCAACGCGGGAGAGGGAGAGACCGAATTCGGATGTGCAGGTGGCCTTTCAAATGGCATGAAAGAAAAAATTTTCAATTGCTATTTGCATTTCACTCCAAGAGTCTTAGAAGTGACACCATTTTTTTGCAATTCCTTCAGTGAACTCTCGAACGGCTATAAAAAGGCCAAAGACCGAAATAGAAAATCAACTTGTTTAAGGTGGTTCGATCTTCATACCACTGGTAAATGCATTCATGGATGGATAATGCATAAAATCACTTATTGATGCACAAAATTGGGTACTACTGCCTCTCTTGTGCATAAATTGCTCTTTTGATCCTCAACGATCCTGCAAATTATTTGCTCCATTGGAGGCAACTGAGGGACATTTACGGTAGTGCATAGAATGATTGAGTTTGTGGGCATACTCGCGTTATTCACTTAGGGGCAAACAAGTGCATAAAGAATCGCGTCTGTAACCACTTTCTAGATTGTGAGCATGAGGCGTCGGTCCCCAGTCCTCAGCAAGATGATCGCGGTGACCTCAGTGAAAGTGAATTGATTTTAGTGTGGGAGACAGAATTACTGAAAATAATTTCTTCATTCTTAGTTCAAAAGTAACGTACTTGCTTAAAAATAAGAAAATTCCAGTGCCTTTGAAGTCTTCGATTGCATGCAAAGAAATTCGGCTTTCGTGAATTTACTAGATGCTCAGGCCAAATTTGTAGAAGGCTGGGACTCAATTTAATAAAAATTAAACTAAGGCAAATGTCCGGCTGATTTTATCTACACTACGTCAAGAAAACCATACAACAGGTGATTCACAAAAAGTGGATTAAGACAGCCAAAATAAACAGAGGACTGCATCCTACAGCTACGGGATGGTGTGAGATACCGAAAGCAAAGTTTGGAAGAACATGGTGATTTCGGCTGCAAATAACAGCATCCCCTAGCAGACGGGTGTGCAGACTTGAGCCAATAGCGTTTTGACCTGACTAAGTCGTGATCCTATTGGGTGATTTGGCCTCATGAGATGGACGTCTCCGACAGAAAATATCCGTTCAATATATGCTAAAATCAAGCTGCCTTCATATCGGCTACCAACAGAGTGATGACACAAGCACAATTGGTCTAAATGTCAACGTCAAAACTCACAGCCTATTCAATCATCATTTTTGGTATTATAACCATACTGTTTACAAATTTCTGTACAAATGCCAAAACACACCTGATCTATTGGAATCCGCTTAATATCATGTAAGTCTTCAGTATTTCATAGAATTTTAATGTTCTCATCATGCTTCATATCCGCTGGATACTTTAGAATTAAAATCCATTTGCTCGGTGCCTACGGTGGCGGCTAATGCTAAATGGTAGTGGAAGTGACTCAAAAACTATGCATGACTGAGTGAGATGTGAATGGCATACTTAAGCACAAATAGTATTTTTGACTGAGGTGCGCAGCACGTAGAAGCTGTGGCTAGGAACGCAAATGCAGCAAAGAAAGATCTTAGAGCTCCAACGTTAAATGATGCTTGCACTTGATGCAGTCTCGGTGACTCACAGTTGGGAATCGCACTGCAAATCACCTGCTTCCGGTGGGAGATGACGCGCTGGAGCTTTGGTTTGAAGTTTGTCCGTTCATTCAGAACACTTCCCCCTTGGTGGAAAGCAACAATGAATGGTCGAATAGGAAAATGATTTTGCAATTTCGCAAAGGCTGTGCTCAAGGAAAACAAAACGTAGGAAACAATTTTTAGCGCTAAAATAGATGCAAAAATGGCATATATTTTAGTAGTTAAAACTGTCAATTATTTAAAACACAGACTTTCGCCAAATTTTACGCGCATCAAAACATTAGTTGTAAAGCTGTTGCAAGATCGTGACTTCAAGTCGAAGTCAGGAAACATTGGGTGACGAAAGTCAGGAGGGGAACTTACGAAAACAACCTGAGAACTATCTTTGTTCAGACGTTTTTTAGAAAAATGTCCTTTTAGGCATTGCGAAACCGGGCAAAGTCAAAGTGACGATACATTATTGGATCGCTAATCATGGACACTATTGTTGCCCCGGTGGGCGTGATTTGATGTTTTGTGAGAAAGTGGAAGCAGTTAACATGCCAAAATGCCACTTACATACACACCTGCACATAAATTCAGTTCAGCCAAAATAAAAGAGACTCTCGCTTTCCTATTTAGCTTAACTTCAATTTTCAATCAGTTTTTCAATTTAGTGCTCTAAAATACGTTTACAAATGGCAAACTGGGGCCCACACCCTCTTTAGCGCTGCAATAGCAGTGCCCCAATCGAGTGCCCACATCCCAGTCCACGCGCAAGGGTTGTCGGTCTTGCCAAGTTGCATGCGAAGCGATCAGAGATGATGTCGTGATGTCGTGCAGCCGGGCTGACACCTCGTAGGCAGTGGATGTGGAACTTGTAGTATCTGAGAATTGAGGACTGAAAATTAAAAGTCACGAATGGACAGGGGCACACGCACACAAATGTCCTACAGAATGGCTTAGTTGTTCCCATGTTCCACTGGCTTTCAGATATGTCTTCTGAAATGCCTTCGTAACGCAACTAAGGAAACATTTGCTCAAATGATTTTGCCACTGGTTTACGTAGGAAATTTCGATTAAACTCGCAACAAAGTTAGCAGCCAATTTTGTTAAAGTCTAAACCGCAAACAGAAAGTTGAGGGTAGATTAGGTTGGTGCATCGGTGAAATTGCAAAAATCTGTTTTCAAAACTCACTTTTACGCTACCCAATAAGTCGACCGGTTTATTAGCAAATGGTAAGTATAAAGGCAAGCATTGTCAAGTTGTGTATGAAACGGGAAGAATGAGCTGGCAAAAGCTTCTACACTTCATACTTGCTGAAGTTCCTTGTCCAGTCACATCCGGTTCAAACGCTGCCTGCGAAAGATGAGTTAACGACCCGGTCTCTCATCTCTTACCCTGCCTACACAACGGCACATCTGAATTCCACGTGTCAACCGATGCTTGTAGGCACAAGCGCTTACTTAGCAGTGGACCACATCCAACGTCCACTATTTGGCTATCGTCTTTCTACTCCCTGCTGATTGGACTTTAAGATTTCGTTGCTCTGGCCTTGTACAGCATGAGTTGCAAAGAATTAGTGTCATGGTTGCAATTATTTCCTTCTCATGTTTTTCGACTCATCTGCTACCGGGGCTCGAGTGAAGTGCCTATAAAACTTGAAATCAGGTCACCTGCCGCAACTGCGGCTGTAGGGTTCGCGTGTTTAATTTGGATGTAATGTATGCTAGACATGCTCTATGCTTTTTCGACCCTAACAAGTGCATGTAGGCCTACCTACATGGATTGTTTTTTGGGCACGGCTAAGTCGCCGATATAATGCACCAGCAATGTTGCGCATTGTCATGAATGCTCTGCAAGGAATTTTGGAGTGGCATTGACTGGTCAAACGAAAAGGTCAATTTCAACGAATCTCGCCTGTGCTTTTGGGAATCGCCTGGATTTGCTTGCCCCTGAGACTTGCGAGCGACTTTTTAGACTTTCACACCCACTATCACTGCTGCAGTCTTGTTTAGTCCCGTTTATGAGGCAAGCTCGGAATTCAGTGTGAGTTAAGGAAAAAATGTTTTTTTGTACTACTAAACTTGGTTCCTACATATTCCTGCCCTTTAACAAAATTGGTGAAGGTCGTTTCCCTTCCCTTCAGCTTCCATGTTTGTTGAGTCGAGTCGAGTCGAGCAGGCAATATGCGGTCGAAAATGCAATCACATTTTCTTCCATTTGTTGGTGTAATGGTCTCGATAAGGTATTTTCTGTCTACAGGCAAATTAAAAGTGCTCCGAATTTTTTGATTTTTGCAAATAAGTAGGCTTGGATGTTTTGGTCTCGACTGGTCAGTGTTAAATGCTAATCAATTTTGTGGGAGTTGCCGTCAACACTTCCGGTTTTTAGTTTCAGAGTGAAACCTGCAGCAGTGCTTCATGTGGAGCAGCGGGATAGGGTAATTTTTGTCTGTCCCAAGGACGAATATTTCATTCTCTGGGTGAGTGGCTTGACAAACATGCTTAAACAAAACAACTATTTTCACTTTGCATCCCTTTCCCTTCCCCACCTCCCATCGTCCCTTCTTTTCACGGGTGGATGCACGTTCGAGTGCGGGCATACAGATTTTTACTTTTCTACCTTTTTACCCCGTGGCCAATCACTGAGCAAATTGGTGCGATCAAGTCCCAAGTTGCCTGGTATCGGTGCTCGCAGGGTGATAGACGCGTAAAAACTATTTTTCGTGCGAAATTACAAGGTGCAAAGACGAGGTTTTAAATCAAAGCGGGTTTAGTAAATAACTCCGATCGGAGTGATTGACGTAAGTGTTTCCTTTTGCACTGGAATAACATTGATATGGTGAAAAAAAATATTATCAACTGTCGTCACTTTACTGCAATACAAATCCAAATTAAAGCACAATTGATGCGCAACTCACATTGTTTTCGTCAGTTAACACTTCTTTGAAAGAGAAAGCGGTAGTAGCAAAGATGGCGAGAATGCACAGATTGTGTGGTTTTCAGCCGAACTGAAAGACGAGAAGACGGAAGGAGGGAAAAAGAAGGCGTCGATTGGTCTCTGTAAGCATGACAACTTGTCCCAACCGCAGCCGGCGTGCCACCACAAGGACTGCACTTGAGGCGCATGCCAAAATTTGCTAAAATAACAACGCGTTGACAACGTGGCCGGTTTAACGAGCAGGACATATCGAACACTTTTATGAGAGGCAACATAAGAAGTACCTTCTTGATGGACATTTTACTGGCAATTGGTTCCACACGTCCTTGTTCTCCATACGAAATAAAATGTAAAAGTTCACGTAGGAAGTCGTGTTGCAGTACCCATGACAGTCAGTTTTGAAATACGAGATAAGCGACCCATCAAGTAGGGAGGAGAGCCTTTTGAACCTACATCCCTCAGCACTGAAGTAGTTTGTTTAATACTGAATAAAATCTCATCCCCTCATCTACAGAAGTCAAATTTTTCCCATCTTTTAATCCTTCTTAACGAAGAAGAGTCTACAATTTGTCTAATCATTTTTCAACGCTTATGCAGACGTACAAAAAGTACGCCTTTGACAACTGCTCGAATCCAAGTGACAGTGGGAACACCGTCAACATTCTCTACCGATGCTCATTCCGAGATCCTTTCAATTCGGCAGCCCCAAAGGGTCTAAATCTATCAGAGATGAACGTTTGGTCACCACAGGTGCCAGACACTAACCGCACATTTGCTGCCACCTCTTCCGCCTCGCTTCCCTTCAGACGTCCGCGGTTGCTTTCAGTTGCACAGGTTGGCGGTCCAGCTAAGCGGTCGACTGGGCGAGAGGAGGGTGAGACGTTCACTCTGCTAATAAATGAGTTTGCATGGTCTACGGGAACGCCAAGCTTCCAGAAAAACCGACCCGTATACTTCACAGGTTGGTCTGAGCCCTCATTCATGCTGATTGTCGGATAAGCTGAACCAACATTTTAAATACCTATACAAATCATATTTTAAACTACAAAGGAGACTACTGATCTCTTTCAAGACTGCCTACTTGGAACACCAAAGAGAGGTTTTAGGCTTGTTAGTACTAACCAATTTACTTTGTAGGGCATCAAAGCGAGGCACGAAGCTAGACATGCTTCAGGTCTGACATTTGAGTTTGTAGGCATAAAGCGGCACAGATGTGTGACGAATTGCCAAAGCGTCGTCAGGCAAATCTCCATTTACATCCCAGTGGAGCTTCCATTTACTGCCTTGAAGTAGAAGTAGTGAGGGAAGAATAATTGACATGCACATGCGATGCAGTAATACAAATTCACCCATTAAACACACTTCCCATTTTGACCTGTTCTCATCGTTCATTTCCCCATGGAGACGAATTATCGGAAAGTGGAGCTGTTTAAAGACGAACTCTCATGTTTCTGATAAAAAGGCATTTTCACACTTCACAGATGTGTTGAGATGCATGACTTGAAAGAGGAACAACTTTTTGACCATGTGATTTAGTTACACGACTGTAATAAATCAAGAAGTAAGGACTTTTATTTGCCTTGAAAAGCAAATCCACATAACGATTACACGGTTGTCTCTGGCAATCAAATTGCAGTGACTAACTCTGTGCTTTTGAAGTAATGAAGCTGTTTTCCAGACTGCTAGGCGTTATGAACCAAACATAGTGCAAGAGCGTACGTTTCTGTTATCGGCACTTATAGTAGTTGAGATTGAAAATTTTGCTCCTCAGTGAATTCCCTCGAAACTCTTTGTTCATCAAAGAAGCCGTTTTCAAAGTGCAGTTCAAACCATTCCGATTGCATTGATTACAGAGTCTCCTGCAAAGAAGGTGTGAAATTACACCCTTTAGGTGGGTTCATTGAGATCTCTCATCAAATGCACGACATTTTCGTCCGAAGCTTCACTATTTTGATCAAAACTTTGCCAGTAATATTGCTTTCCTTTTTTCCAATTTGTCCTAAACAAAAAAATCTATTTGTTAGTGCGTGTTCTTACTAAGCACAGTGAATAGGCTTTGAACTTTTCTTGGATCACGACGCCTGTGTTTCGACTGCAACTCCGTAAAATTGAGCATTGTGAATCAGACGTCAAAAGCATTCCACTTTATTCGTTCTGAAGCTGCTAAGTCGCCGCCCAGTAGTGGCGTTGAGCGTCGAATTCCTCGTGATGAGGCGATTTGTGAACGCCGATCCAACCAACAGAGGTGCTTCCTTTCTGTTCCACCCAAGGAGGTTGGCACAAGTTTCAGCAGTGCCTACCTCTCCACCTAGCATTAATTTGCAGTACGCCAGTAATCATCAACTTTCTTTTTAGCTGTGGCGAGGATGCATAAATGTGAGGTAGCTTTCATAGCTGTGATGATTAGCGTATTTTCCAATATTCTAATAGAGGGAGATGGTTTTATAACTGTAATAAAGTTCCTTATTTAGCTTCTCCTTATCACTTCATCGTCGAAGAGATGCATTAAGTACGGACAGCGAGAAAGTGTACTGCAATACAGATTTCTGCTGAAGGTTTTACGATATTTACCAACCATAACGCTTCCTTCTCCATGCTGAAAGCTTGAGTTCTGAGGCCTTCACAAGTCCACTGAAATGCTATTAAGGAAGAATTTTTGCAACCGTATGATGTGTCTCAGCCTACTTCTCTTTAGCTTGCAAAGAGGATGGTGAACGCCAGAGGTGGATGAACTCTCCCTCTAATGCTTACCCTGATCCAACTAAATTATTCAAGAGCATGTGTCTTGACTGTTTGGATTGGAAAGCCAAAAACCCATTCGCTTATGCTGAGCCCGGCGCCTAGCTTTTATAAACGGTGGCAATTCTTGCCTTAGAGGAGGTGGACTTTCATCGGCAATTGCAGTGGATGCACATCTTTACAGGATTCTGTTAATAAACATATTGTCAAACTGTAACCTTAAAATACAGCCTTTACAAATAATAATTCATAAAGTGGTGCGGTGCTATCGTCGGGAAGTTTAAAGTAGAGATGGCAGCAACCACAGGAAGCAAGAAGTTTTCACTTTGCAACGTAAGCTGGATCAGATTTAAGCAGTACAAATTTTGCAAACGACTCAGTCGACAGGCGGGTAGGTAGATTTTCGCTGACTCCTCACACGGAGACAAGTGGCCCTTGTGGGGAGACATTGCTGCATTAAGTGGGTCACTTCATGCAAGCAGTGTAGATAATTACGAGGCTACATAAATTATTCACAATGGTCACAGCAAGTTACCATAGGTGCAGAGAACATGCACCATCGTCCACTTTTCCTGCATGTATTTACAACTGGAGTACCGCACATCAAAAGATTACGATTATACGTTGCCCGATGAGAAACACTTCCATTTTAAACGGAATGGTCCACACCACTCGCAGTGTGATGCAGTGTTTGAAGGCGCACAACTGGGTGCATGAAGGCATAGAAGTTATGGCGAACATTTCAAAAGAGGCCTAAACACAATGCCATTTTGTTTTTTAAAGCTCAACCAAAAATCTGCTTGGAGGAAAACATGAGACTGACCATCGTACAGGGCGAAATCGTGCGATCAAACGAGGGTGAGTCTGTTCTATAAGGAATTGTGACGTTTATAGATTATTGCCACGTTCACTAAGGGAACTTGACTGCAACTCTCTGTTTCATTCCATCCAGCAACACTACAATGTCCTCCCCATCCATACACACACACACACACATTGTAAAGAAGTCATCATACTTTGGTGTTAAAAAATTTTCCCAATACTTCGGTTGTGAAATTATTTTGAAGTCTGCAACCGTATGTGATCCTTTCAGCAAGTGAACTGGCTCCACCAGGTGGTCGGAGTCTACGACTTAATATGCGTCCATCTTTGAGTTTCAAAACCCAAGCCTTCACACTTGTTTTTCGTGAAATTGCCATTATTGAATCACGAAACATGCTCCGTCTCTACATCCTATCTGTTGTGAACAACGTGTAGATCCTCGGTTGTTATGAGAGCTCACAGTGGATTTACCACGTTACTGAGGCTTATTTAGCCTGATTCTAATTTAACTATAAAGCGTAAGGAGAGCCAAAACACCAAATTCGCTTGAGATGAGAGCGACGCTTAATTGGCCAGAATTTGGAACTACGGACATAGCATCTGCCTACTTAGCACTCTTCGACGCCCTGGTCCATGCTCGAGGCCACTGAGACGGTTTTGAATCCGCAAATTAAGGTGATCAGTGGGGAACTTCTGTTTTTAAAAAAAATCGGTTCTTGTTTACATACTTCGTGCTCAATCTTTGAAGTTCACTAAGTACGCAGGGATGATGAACCACTTGAATCAGCTCTTGATAGTTTTTGAAAGTGTTGGATGCCTGCATTGCTCAATGTCTCAGATGCCGTTCTCCAACGAGGCTTGGCACCTAAGGAGCTCGAAACCTCGGTGTCCGTGCGCCAAAGCCTTCGCAACTGCACTGTGCGCGAAATGTGCCGCCGGAACGTCCACAATAATTTTGCGATGAAATCGAACAGATACTCCATACATCTCCTTCTAATTGCTGTATTTGTGTTGTTACACATAAGCAGTTAATCACTGCGACACCTGACGTGTTGTACATACCCTTTCCTGGAGTGTGTCCACTTAAAGATTACAAAAATCCAGATGCCCTCTGATTTTAGAACCCACACCTAAGACATGCTCATCGGTTGTGTTTGTCGAAACTGACGGCTAGGTCGAAGCAAGTGAGAGATGTCTACCGATAGAATGGCGGTTGTCAAATGATCTCCGTACACATAAAGTAGCACCGAGAACACAGGATAGAAATGCACACAGTCTATGTTTCCACATGCTCAAAGAGTAAAGATACAGAATTAAATTTGCTTCAAGTTAGTCTTCCTTTATTTTGCCGAATATTATTGCTGGCAGCTTCCGCTTCCAATATTTGTCATCAAGCGAACTTTAATCAGTCTTATCAAGCACGTGCCAAGGAGACAAGGAATTTTGATGTGCACCTTTGGTGGCATCAGGAATTTGAGCAAGAAGAACATCTCTTCCGCTTTATTGTCGTAAAAGTAAAAGCACAACTTCATGCGCCCCATGGTCCCAATGGAGCCTCAGTGACCTCATCGCGCTTTGTGCAACCTAATACTTCAGCTTTTCGTAAACCGATTACCTCAATAGGCTTCGCCTCTTTGTAAGACAAGCTTAATCTGTGCCAATGAGTCAAACTTAGGAAACCCAGCGTAGAATTGGGGCAAGCATGTGCAAATACCAACTTGCAATTCCCCCAAAGTGTTGAGCTTAAAGTTCCGCCTTTTGCCTTTCCCGATCATTGCTGATAGGCGGCAGCACCATCCAAAGGCCATTCCACTTCCCAAGTAAACCTTCTAAAGACCGACACAAAAGCAAACATCCTTTACGCCTGAGAAACTCAGTGCTGCTTGTCAAAAGGATATTTGTCCCTAGAACACGATCTTCGAAACAGGGAAATAGTCTATTACCTCACACTATTTACACCGAAACATATCAGCTACTTTTGAACGAGGAGGACGTTTGCTGTGGTTTCTCAAAGTTCTTTAAGTTCGAACCCCCCAATACACCTTGGAAATTGTTTGATTCGCATTTCACCCTTTAATATGTACAAAGCCTTGATGAAGGCCTTTAACCGAAAATCCTATTACGATGGTGAATGATGCCAAAAGGCTGGTTGAATGCGATTTACGAATCGTTTACCACTTAAAAGCAGGAAGCGTCACTCGTAGTAGGGTAAGGAAGAAATGAAACACAAAAGTAAGTCATTCAATTCCAATCGTTTATTTCTATATTTGTGAAACATTCACAAGTGATCAGTAAAAAGCGTTTGAACATGTGCTCATAGGTGTATGTTTGCGTACACAAATTGTAAAAATTGTTCGTGTGGTTAGGTGGTCAACTCGGAAGCGGAGGCGCAGACACAGACACTTTCCTGTAAACTTGAAGACGCAGTGACCATAGGCACCGCCCTAGTTGTGAATGCTGCTGCTCAGGTCAGTTTGTATGTTCACAAAGCGTGGGTTAGGCTAACATGAGGCCATTCCGCTTGGAGGAGTTGTTGTGTCTTTGACTGCCGGACATGTTCGCTTGCATTGTTAAGTGCAAACCTCAAATTTGAGCCACTTCCATGACAGCTTGCTTTGATTAGCGAAAGGTCTTGAATTAATAAATGGGTCCATTTAACACGTTGAAATCACTTAGACTATTTTATTACCGTACTTTTGAAGCAGTTAATGACAATGAAACACTTTCACAATCCAAACTGGAAATTTCGATGCAGCTGCAAACTTTTAGAAGTAGTAGTTGCTTGAAGACAATCGCGAAGAATTCCTTCCAAGGAGCGTAAGCGAAAACTTGTGATTTCCATTCGAAGTACTGCAGATGTCAAATGCAACTGTGATATCCTTTTGCCTAAATAGGAAAATAACTACTTATTGAACTTCATTCCACTTACCGTTTTGTGCTAGTGCCCCCAGTTTCCATTCAAAACAGACTACTTTATGCCACCCGATGCCATCAAAACTGCCATTTTATCTTTGTTCATCTTAACATAAACATGAGTTTGCCTCCCCACTTTATTGCGGACTCTAAAAGAAACATACGCGTGCTGAAGTCATCGCTTTATGTTCCGAGTCACGAAAGCGGCAGCGATTTCTCTTCCTTCGAATTGTTAGCACATTTCCCACGAGCTCACGATGACTGGGTTACATGCTTTCTGACAAAAGGATAAACGAGATTCTCCTACTTTCCTTAATGCACAGTTTTGTCTTGAATAAATGGAATGCCTGCCTTCAGCTGTTGCCCTAGTATAAATTAAACAAAAAGTGCATGTAATATTTGGTAGGAATGGAGACACTTCACAACATAGCACGAGAAAAACCTGCCTAATCGAATCCATCTTACTACCTCTCAGCAATCATCTTTGGGACTGAGCAGGGTGAGCGCTGCTTTTTGCGCTCCATTCGAAACAACATGTCTGATGTGAACGCACCCAACGAATCAGCAAGCCCTAAGCTTAAGGAGATGCGTTTCAAAAGCCCAATGTTTAGCTGAGATACTCGTGAGGCATTCAGATCGAATTCGCCGACACACCACTGCTGTTCGAAGCCGTACCACGCAAAAATGTATGAACTCACATATGCCGAACTCACGTATCCCCACCGCGGTCAAAGGAATATAGTTGAAATGACGCTTTTCTGGCTTAACTTTATGGGTCTTTACCTGCAGATTGCCTTTAAGGTCATAGTTTAAGGGAACAGGTGGGCAGTATGATTAATATAAGATGAAGGAATTTGTTAATAAACATACGAATAGTTAAGTGCTGATAATATCGCTACTTCGCACATGACTCTGGAGAGCATTGCAACAAGTCTACCACCCACTAAGTTTTTCTACGCGTCGTGCTACAGCCCATCTACAAATAATCACACCTTCTGGATCTTGGATGTTAGCTTACAGCAATAACATTTACTGCAAAAAAATTGAATGAAGAATAAAACATAAGGATAAGCGTACCGATTTCATGGGCTTAGTACAAGGTTCATATCCAATCTATTTCTATGAAGTCCTTAAGTTTAGATGGAAATTCAGATTGCTGGATAAAACTACATTAAATTGATGCAAAGCCAAGCTCAGATGCTGTCATCCTCATCTACAGATCTGTTTGTGCATTCGCAGTGCAAACTGTTCAGCGCCTAGAGAAAAAGTAATGCATTTGGGAATGGGCAATCTATGCGAAATATTTCATTTTGAGTTCACCACCACACAGACAAGACCCACGGTTTCAAGAGTTACAATAAAGTTGCTGAAATACAACCGCAGAAGATCAAATGACATTCCTGCTTCATAGTTAAACCCATACCGGAAAAGATCCCGACGTTAAGGTGATGCAGACGAAAGAAAAAATTATTTGAACTTACTAAATGTCTTTGGGCAACATCTGCTGATATGATCCGTGAAACTATGTTGAGGGCACGAGGCAGGCGTGTAAAGAAGTTGATTAGACAAGTCGAAAGTCATGCAGCGTTAAGCAAAGCAAACCAAGAAAACGGGTTGACCTTAGCCTCTTGACATATTTGATTTTATCTATGTGACCTCAAGGACATAATTTTATCGAAGGAACACGGAGAAGCGTGAATGCATTCCACCGAAGGATCCCTGCACCGACTCTCCACCCGAATGAGTCACATTTGGATCGACGCCCCAAACTCCGTTTTAGCGGTACTTCACGCGCACTATATCTATACCGTATGAGGGTCTTAGAAAGTATGAACTAGAAAAAACATGCAGCCATAGTTCCTCCTAGCCCCCAAGAAGCCCAAACAAGTATAGAGGTGCTTGTTATCAGGCCAATAAGAAAAATCCCAAGGGCAGTTAACTGCAATGGAATCTTTCGAGGAGTTAAATAAGCTCAGCCCTACGTCGATGCAATTTCCCAACTGCACCTAACTGTTTCAACAAAAACATTGAATAGTAGCTCAGATGTATTTGTGCGAGTAAGGAGCACGAGTAATCGAACTTCGTGCAATGTTAACCGGTAAAAATAATTGTCCTACAAATGTCTGACACGAGAAGAGGGAAACCCAAAGATCACCCTGCACCAGTATTCACATTAATACACGGCGTACGCGAAAAACACGTGATAAAAGCAAAGCTGAGATTGTTCCATTGTGAGATCCCTCAACGAAGAGATCACAAAATACATGCACATTACATATGTACAATTGCGCAGAGAATTGTCCATAGTCAAACACGTATTCACATAGGTACATTCTTGGCAGCAGCTCTCTGCATTATGCCCTGTCCCTCCTTTTTCAAAACACAAAGTAATGTTTGAGAGCTTTCAAGAATCTAGGATAATAAGAGATCCAGATTATTGCGCGAACCTTCATGTAAGCAGCTTCAGACTCGGCAATGGTCCGATCCAATTCATTGCGAAGCACCAGCTTTTTTTGCAAGCTATCATTTACACGATTAAGCTTTTCGGTAATTTGACTCAAATCTCTTTGTAATTTCGCTTTCTCTGTTTCGTCAACATGTATCTGCCTCTGAATGTCTTCCCTCCGTTTACACAGATCCTCAAAGCCTAATGAACGCATAAGGAAAATTATACACCCACATTTTACCAGTTCATTATTGTAATTTTGAAGTGCAGCACCCTGCTGAGACATTTTCATAGAAAATGACTCCGCCAAATCTTACAGCCCAAAGTTAATTTTAGAAAGCAACAAAACTGCACGGACCGCGGTGGCATAGTAACCAATACCATGAATGAAGGAAACAAACACGTGGTAGGAAAACTTCGCTTGCCCACAGTCCATTAAGCTGACATTGCCCCCTACTAATCAATGTCAGTTTTTTTGAAATTTTATCCGTCTTACAATGCAGCAGCCTATTTACAGATATCATCAAGTCTTTAAAAAAATAAAATTATACGTTTATTTTGGCCTTATGCCATTTGCCACCTACAATAAAAGCCCGAAACCGTTACTCAATAATCACTGCAAACATGTCTAAGTTGGCAGTCAAATTTAGTAGCAACAAAGGCAGCTTAAAAGTGTATAAAATATTTTCGAACAGATTGTTCGAGTTGTAAGAAAAAATTTACTAAAAAAAAGCCTATCCTCAGGCTCCTAAGCCTCCGACCTTATAAAGAAATGATCATAGATGGT